AATTAGAAATCAAACGGCAACAGGGGGCCTAAGGTAAAAGATCATCCTAGAGCGCAGTAACACTGGGGAACACCGCGGGGTGGTTGCAGAGCAGGGAATGCTGCTCTGGTCCCATGAATGCCTTCTCAACATGGAGACTGCATGAGGGCCTCGTAAAGAGGGCTTATGCAAAGATCTCTGAGAAGGGAGGTGACCTCTGCTCACAAGATCTGGGAGGGTCTTTGCAGATGGGAGCTGGCAAGGAGGAGAAAAGCCTTGCAGGGCAGAGATTATGGACCACCTCAGGCTCTGCCTAGGTTCTCAGAATATGGAGTGATTTGAATTACTCTATGTCCTCAATGCTCAGGAGGTAAAAGCCCCTTGATGCACTAGGTGTGGTCAGACCCCCTTGACTCCTCATCTGCTATGCTTCTGATGCAGCTGCACCCTGATAATAATTGGTGGTAAACTCAGAGTACTAGTTTACATGTCTTAGAAGGATCTCAAGTGCTGTTAAATGCTCGGAGCACTAGTTTAGCATGTCTTAGAAGGATCTCAAGTGCTCTCCACCTGGCTGTCGTACCTACCCCTTCATCCTCCCCTTCCACGCCCATAAGATCAGTGACGTTATGCACGTAATAAAAGTGTTTGGAGCCCAGAGCTCGGGGCCAATGCGGTTCCCACGCTTGTGTTGGTCCCCTGGACCCATGCTGTAAATTCTACTCTTGTGTTTCATTTTAATTCCTTTTCTCAATCCCTCGTCACTGCCGGGACTAAGAGTACCCATGTACGAGCCTGGGCTGGTACCCAACAAACTGGAATTATTTCATTCCTTTACAATTTAAAATTTATTAATTGAGAATCTAGGGTGGGTCAGGCACTGTGTTATACATTTTGTATAACATGAAAACAACATGGTTTCTGTCTTTGAAGAGCTACCATTCTATTGTGGAGGCAGTGAGAAAAATTGTAATACAATACCATAAATGCTATACTAGTTATGAACCAGGTCCTGTGGGAACTAAATGTAAGTACTTTCATTGAATTTGTGGGCAAGAAGTAGAATCCTGGAAACAAGTTTCTATGTCTGTCATGTCGTATGTATAGTACTGGACAAATTCCAGTGTTAAAATTAAAGTTTAATTATATAAGTTGGCATAAAGTTTTCATCTGCGTAGCCACTAAAATAGAAGTTGCTATTATATTTAATAGCTCCTTTTAAAAGCACCAAACTGTTTTATTTAACAAAAAAATCACAATTATATTTTTTCATCAACTGCCAACAAAGTTTTCTGTTTGTATCATATTTCCAAGGAATTTCATCTTGTTACTAAGTTGTTTTGAGGGCAAAGTTTTTCTAATTTTGTCCTTACTACATTCTCCTTAGGAGGAGAAAAATCAGAATTCTCCTTTCTGGTCGTCTATGAAATCTAATATCTTGTTAGCTTTGTAATCATGTTTCATTAACTTCCCCAAGTACATGCAAAATACTCTGAGAAACTGCACATTTCAGACCTATATAAGAAGGGAATCATATATTTTGACCTTTAATATATGCTTAACATTTATTATATAATATTTTATTCTTTTGTTATTTCATACATTAAACCTTCAACAGTTTCAAGTTCTAGCAATAAGATAAAAATCCTTGAAAAAAAGTTAGTAGTTACTCAGATATTATTGAATATAGAAATATGAATGTATCTCACTAAAAATATATTCTTCTAGAAGACTTTCCAAACAAATTATATCAGGATAATGTAAGATAATGACAGGAAATATTGGAGAAGGTACTCTTCCAAGGACTTAGCATGTAATAACTTACTTAACTTTCTTAACAATGAGATACATATTAGTCTTACAAATTCTTTCTTAGCAGGGTCTCTAAAATATATGCTTGTTCCTCTATTTTTGATTCAACCTAAGAGCCAAATAATAAGAAAATATTATTGTCCAAAACTTGGAAGCATGGGAAAAGATAACTACGCGACTTGCATTGTTAAGTGATGGCATTTTCTAACAAGCTCACCTAAAGGTCTTCTGTCTTAAGTATGTATGTAACTTTCCTTGACTTGTTATTTACTGGTATCCATGACAACAGTTTATAGCTTTGTAAGCACAGATCTTAATTTGCAGAAAGCCAAGAGGGTGCACATGTTTATTTTTCTAGTAGTAATGGAAATAGTTTCAGCCCAGTAAAAAAGATCACCTCAAAGTTCATGGTCTCTGGCCCTGTCAGACAGTACTGTTTTTGTTGTTGTTATTCTAGTTTAGCAATCCCATTCCAGTTTCCCTTCTTTCATTGACTCTATATACATGGGTCAGTATGTTTTAGTAAAATGGCCAGCCAAAAAATGCCCTTTGCATCTTGCTGATTTCCTTAACAAATTCCATAAAACTTCAATTGTGCATCTATATGAGAATTATGTTGTCTTAAGATTTTGAAAATTATGTTTGACAACAAATGACTACTTTCTTGAATTCTTACTGCATTAATCCATTTAGGCTGCTATAACAAATACTAATAAACTAGGTGGCTTGTAAACAACAAACATTCATTTTTATAGCTCTGGAGGCTGGGAAGTCCAAGACCAAATGCTGATGGATTAGTTTCTGGTGAAAACCCATTCCTCATACACAGTGCCTAGCTGTGTCCTCACATGAAGGGTAGGCCTAGCTAGCTTCACAGGTCTGTTTTATAAGAGCACTTATCCAATCATGAGAGCTCCACTCTTGTGAACTTATCACCTACCAAAAGTTCCCACATTTTAATTCCACTGCCTTTAGGGTTAGGATTTCAATAAATTTTGTGGAGATAAATGTTCAGATTGCTGCACCTGTTAACAGGTTAACTCTCCTATAATGTATGCCCCAACTTGCTATCAATCTCGTATTTCACTTTTTTTGTTGTTGTTGTTTTGAGACAGAGTCTCACTCTGTCGCTCAGGCTAGATGGAGTGCAGTGCTGCAATCTCAGCTCACTGTAACCTCCACCTCCCAGGATTGAGTAATTCTCCTGTCTCAGCCTCCTGAGTAGCTTGGATTACAGTTGCCTGCCACCATGCCCGGCTAATTTTTATATTTTTAGTAGAGAAGAGGTTTTGTCATGTTGGCCAGACCGGTCTTGAACTCCTGACTTCAGGTAATCCACCTACCATGGCCTCCCAAAGTGCTGGGATTACAGGCATGAGCCACCATGCCCGGCCTTATATTTCACTTCTAACCCAGTTCCAAAACAAAATAAAACTATTGCCCACCAGCGCAAGCCAGGATTCATTGTGAAATTCCAGACACTCTGTGTTAGATTTTCAGGACTGCCATAACAAACTGTCACAAACTTGGTTTCTTAATACAATGGAAACTTATTCTTTCACAGTTCTAAAGGAAAGAAGTCCAAAATCAAGGCCTTAGTATTACCATGCTCCCTCTGTGACTCTAAGGGAGAATCTGTTTATTTTTATTATTTTTCTTTTTTTGCCTCTTTGTGCTCTGGGAGCTATTAGTATTACTTAACTTGTGGCTGCAAAATTCCAATTTCTGCCTCTATCTGCACCATACCTCCTCCTCTTCTGTGTTCTCTCCTCCCTGTCTGTCAAATATCCTTCTGCCTTACTCTTATGACATCTGTCATGGCATGTAGGGTCCACCCATACAGTCAAGGATGATCTTTAAATCTCAAGATCCTTAACTTAGTTATATCTGCAAAGATCCTTTCCCCAAACAGTTAACATTCAGAGGTTCTGGGAATAGGAGGGAATTAGGATATGTCCTATCTTTTGGGGGGCTACCATTCAACCCATTATACTGCCATATCCGGCCCCAGTTCAACTCTCCGTGCTTACCTCCAAGTATTTCCTGATAAGTATTTCTGTTTATTTCTTGATCCCTCTCCTATCCATAACCCACAGACTTTACTCTTTACAGCTTGTTGTTTTTATTGATCATATAGTTTCTCTGTCTAGAACAGCTTCCCTCTCCTTTAATGTGTCTAGTGTCTTAGCTTCCTTCAAGCAGGTTTCCCCTGTCCCCATCCCCAGCTTTCCTCATTCCAGGCTGAGTCTAGTGCTTTCTCGGCTGCTGTCACTGCACTGTGAACATACTTTTATTGTTGCTTTCTGAATTTCACTGGCTTTCCCCTTCTGTATACATCTGTATACTCCATCAGTCTTTTTCTCAAACAGCACAAACTGTGTACAACCTCACTCAGTTTCTGTCCATAACAGTCATTTACTAAGAGTTATTAGATCAGTCTCTAACTTAAAACCTACCTGTTCTTAAAATTTAGCCTACAACTTTCTTTACAATAAAAAAAATCTAGCATGTGAATTATAATTTATTTTGTGTTCTGGTAATTCCTCAGCTGTCTTTCTTGTGCTTGCTTGTTTCACTTAAGTTATTAACTTTAGAGAATAAAATTAATGTCTTCTCTGGTAGATGTATTGGGAACATAGAAATAGCTTGCTAGATTTGTTCACTTAATCCCCAGCGGAAACATCAAAAATATACATTGGGAGGAAGATAACCTGACTTAAGTTTATCTTTTACTTTCTCCCCATTATAGAAAGTCAGACTTTACTTCTCAACAGTTTAGTAATGGTTTCGAACTAAGAAAATTTGTGTTCCTGTTGGAATTTCTAATTTCTAGGTTTTAACAAACTGTCAGCTTTCATAAAGCTGGTTTCTAGAATTTCATTTTCCTTCCCTATTTTATATCTTAATCATAACCACAGTATAAATAATTTGTTGTTTCAAAATCTCCATTCACTCATCCATTTTGTTCTTATTGACCTTGGCTTATGAAATTTGGGTGGAAAGAATCAGTAACTAGGAGAGGAATATTTGAACTTTGATTTTACATTTCAGACAAAGTCCTAACTGAGACTTCAGTCACATGAAAGTATGAAATTATTATCTGCCTACTTTGGGAAAATCACCAGTTTAAAATATAAAAGAATTGTATTGTGTGACGGATTGCTTTAAGAAATTTTATTTTTTATTCTTAACTATTAAATGAATATTTAGGCAATGGAAAATTTTTGTTTTCTATAGCCTTAGGAATGTTAGCCTTAAAATCATTTAAAAAATTCACCTGGTGTCAGGTATCATTAAAAACTCCATATTTGTGCCAGATTAACTGAAAACTTTGGCCCCAGATAAATTGGTGGATTTTGGCCAAGTTTTGGACAAACTTGGGTATTTCTTTATTTCAGCTAGAAAGTACATAAAGCTCTGTGGATTCTTGCTTTCTGACCTAAACCAAGTAAAATTCAACAATTTGGCTATGATTTCCTTTGAGGTTTCATATATTTTTTCAGCTATAAAACGTGAACCCAGGTCAAGAGACATATACTGAAGCCTCAGTTTTAGCAAGAAAATGTTTATGAACTAAAAGTGGAAATTCTACAGAAACTTGGCTGAGGAGAAAACCTTAAAACTGGAACAATTAACTTAGACTGTTTGGGAGAAGTGAATCTTTCATGTAATTTGCTCTCTTTTTTTCTGTTCTCATAGTTTTAACAAGTTTTACACTAACAGGCTTCTATGTTGCATTACAATTTTTTGATAGGATCTATAGCGAAACTTCTCTCATTTTTTTTTCCCTTAATGTTTGGACTCCTTAATTTGAATCACTCTTTTATTTCTTTTTAATGCTATTCTATCATAGGGAACTTAGCAAATTTCTCTCAAGGGCTGAATCAAAGGGAACAGCGAGTGAATCCAGGCAACACTGCCCTCCAAATTATGCTCCCTTGTGAACCCTGTGTTGACCACTTTCTCTGGACAAGGACACAGCTCTGTACCATGCCACAACTCAGGATGAGTTTCTTGTGTTTTGTGGAAATGCTCCCCAAGAGGTGAGGAGGTGACCTCTATCCATCCCCTTTGTCTAGACATCTCAGTCCTGAAGCTCATGATTATTTCTAAAGAGTTTCTAGTTGTTCTTACCAGAAGTGTGTTGAGCCCTTATGCAAATAAGACCTCAAGAGGCACACCTAAACTTGTCTGAAAAGTCTCCTGAAGATCCTTCAAGCAACTTTTCTCTCCTTTCTTTTCTTTTCCCAATAACCTCTTTACTCTTTTCCATGAAGATGTCCTCAGAACAAGGCTGACCTCATCTTAAAAAGAGGAGAGAGGGGAGATAATGCCTGTCAACCTCTATCACAAAATGTTGCTCCACTTACTGATGAATTAATAAAAAAAGTCATCTGTACTGTCTTCTGATGCCCATCATCTGCTCCTGTGAGCCTTATTTCCCACTGTTCTTCTATGTAGTGTATGCTCTAGTCAAAAATTTGACTCTTGCTATCATTCATTAATTCTTTCATCAGTGATTGTTATGAGTGTCTACTATGTGCCAAACAATGTTCTAGCCCCTAAAGATCCATTAAAACAAGTGAAAAAAACCAGACACACTTGATGTTCTCATGGATGCTATATTCTAGCGTGCCCTGGGCATTCCAGCTTTACACCTTTGCTCTTCTTTGGTGGTCACGCCTTAACTATTGCCCAGTCCTAACTTTCAACTGGTCCATATGTTTCAAAGTTGTCTTGAATCTACAAAGTGCCTTAATAATTAGACTTACTTTTAACACTTGCAAGGTTGCAAGGCATAGGATTGAAGTATGAATTAAATCTACATACTATTTATATAAATATTTAAGATACAAGTTTAGCTAAAAACCCTGATAGCTATATAATGTCAAAATTTTAAAAATGTGTAAGACTATGTTGTTTACGTGTCTAAAAGTTGGCCAAGTATCCAAGATTACTAAGTGTATTTTTGAGCATATCTGGTTGTTCTTTGTTGATCAGCTGGCATTGTTTGGATAAGTAATAAAATAAAACATATAATTAACAAATTACCATATGTTTATTTGACATTTTTTCTTGTCTTTATTTTGGCAAAGTCATTAGTCATATTATAATCAATATTTTAAAAAGCATAATACTGTTACATTTTCTGTGACCCCAAGTTAGACAGCGTTTCTTGAGTCATCTAACCGTGTTTTTAATTAAAGCAACATCTAAATCCATATTGTAATGTAAACAACCAGCATCATTGCTCATACATATTGCCTATAGACTTACATATATTAAAGTTAAAAATTTTAAATGTTTAATATTGCAGACTGTTGCTAGTTTCTGTGTGCACCTATTTAAATTTGTCAATTTACTTAAGTATGAATGTGTCCAGATGCCACACCTGGTACCTGTGGAGATGAAGGTGGATGCTCAGCAACAGCTGGGAAAGATGCTTCATTATGCAAGAATCTTTTGCACCCATACTGAGAAGAAGAACTGGACAAGTTAATTAATTTGTGTTTTCTCTTACCTAACTCTTCTGCTGCTCAGATCTTTCCTGAATAACAAAGTCAGCAGCAGCGGGCCTCATGCCATTTTATACCATTCTTATGCAGTCACCTTTTGTTTTGGGGACAAATGACAAGAGGTTTGAAGAGTTGATCATTTTGGGACCTGAAGGAGGTTTGACTTGAGAGCCTGCTTTTAAAACCACAGATTGGATTCCGTTTGCTGGACCCCAGGTGATGGTGTATCCATGTATTCTGTTATAAATTTGGGTATGTATGCTTATAATGTGTGGCACTCTCTAAAGCATGAGGCCCAAAGGAGGATACTCTTCTTACACAGGCCTGAAGGTAATACTTTCTGAAAGAAAATTTACTTGAACTAGGATTCATCTATAATTCTGAAATCCCTAAATACTGCTTTTTTTTTGTAATGCCTAGAAAAGGTGAGAAATACTATAACACTTTGCCCAGATGTCATATCTCCTCATAGAAAAAAAGTAGTATTTTATGAGTATGAAAGATATCTTATTTGTTTTTTCAACCACCATCTGTGCACAACAAATCCAAGGTTATAGAGCGTTAAATTATTTTTAAAAATATTGAACAACTAAACTAAGTACAAAAATGCAAAGAACTGTAATTCATAATCCTTATTTTCTTAAACTTTAGAATAAATTAGATATCTCTGTGAAGGGGCAATTAACAACTACTGCCACCAAATGGCAAATGTGAATTGCAGTGTGGGTGGGAGAAGAATGAGGAAAGGAAGAAGAGTGAGAATCAGTTTAGTTTAAGAGGAAACTGGGAAATACTAATGGGAAAGTTCAGAAGGAACGGGAAGACTCAGGAAGGAGGTAGATATGCTTAGGAATTAGCTTGTCTAGATGAAAGGGCAAGGCAGAGATTAGGGTTAGTGAATGATTTTTGCATTGTGGTTCAGAAATTATAATAATAACATTTGCATCTGTGTTGATAATCAATACATTTCATAACTGTTTCCTATGTGTCAATTATTCTATTAAATATTTTACACATATCAGCTCATTTTGTCCTTAGAACCACATGAGGTTTATGTTACCACAGTTCTTCTCTTTACAATCATATAAATAAGACTTTGAGATGGTTACCGGCTAGCAGAGCCAGGAAGTGAAACCAGATATATTTGACACCAAAGCTTCCTTTGAATCACAAGGACATTTGAAGTCATTGGATAGGATTCAGTCTCCTTGGATAAAGGCAACTGGAAATAGGGTCTTTGCTGATGCAATTAAGAACTTTGAGATGAGTCATACTGAGTTTTCAGTGCATGCTAAATCCAGTGGCTGGCATCCTTATAAGAAGAGAGGACACACACAAACAGAAGAGAAGGCCATGGAAAGATGGAGGCAGAGCCTGGGGTTGTGCCGACAGGAGCCAAGGAATGCCGGGCGACATTTCAGGCTGAAAGAAGCAGAGAAGGATTTTCCTCTATAGATTCAGAGGGTGTGTGGCCCTGCTGACATCTCGATTTCTGGCTTCCAGCCTCTAGAACTGAGAAGAGTGAATTTCTGCTGTAATAAATCACCCAGTGTGTGGTCATTTATTGTGGCAATCTTTGGAAACTAAACGACAGGATAAAGAGCAGTTATCAGAAGAAAAGGATGTGGTGCTGGTAGACAATCCCAAAGCATCAGTTGTAGAATTTATAAAAGAAGCTTAGCAGCAGGTGGAGTCATAGATACAGGATGAGAGCCAAGTTAGTATATTGCCTAGATGTTACGACAAGGTATGGAAATGTCAGTGCTAGGCGGAGTGAGCACTGAGAAACTGAGAAAAGGGGAAAGGCATGATGAGACAAGATGCCTTTCATCTAGACAAGCTAATTCCTAAGCATTTCCACCTCCTTCCTTAGTCTGCCTGTGAATGCCCTTCATGTGAAATGCCCATCACCTCACTCTGCTTGACTAATTCATTTCCCTTCCTTTTGTGAAACTGACATTGAAGATACACTTCTTCAGTCTTCATGTTGTTGGTGTGGGATGCGTGTGTGCGCATGTGTGTGTGTGTAGAGTGACACTTTCACAATTTTTTAGATTTGTTTTTGTGATAGGATATTCTTTTTTTTTTCTTGAGACAGAATCTTGCTCTGTCACCCAGGCTGGAGTGCAATGGCGGGATCTGAGCTCACTCCATCTCCCAGGTTCAAGTGATTTTGTTGCCTCAGCCTCCTGAGTGGCTGGGATTACAGGCTCATGCCACCACACCCAGCCAATCTTTTGTATTTTTGGTAGAGATGGCATTTCACCATGTTGGCCGGGCTTGTCTGGAACTCCTGACCTCAAGTGATCCAGCCACGTTGGCCTCCCAAAGTGCTGGATTACAGATGTGAGTCACTGTGCCCAACTGTGATACGATATTCTTGAAGTTATTTAGGAGGTGTTTAAATAAAGACAATGGCATGCAATGTGTATCTTGTGGAGTCTGAGCATAAGAAAAATAAGAGACACTGATATTAAATTTTATTTATAAGTCTTCTGTATTTAAATACAGTGCTTTAGTAAAATCCGTTATTTGGAGACAAAGAAGTATTTCATGTATTTTTATTTTAGACACAAAGGAAATCAACTCCTTTGAAGTAGCAAAATTTGTAACTTTATATTGTTCTGATATAAATATACCCCAAACACATTGTACGGTTCCCTGGATTCTTATACAGAATTCATCTTTTCCCTGCTGACCCAGGGCCAACATCATACACATCTATTATTGTTCTGTGTGATATTATGATGTTCTGGGGCCTCTTTCCTAAACACCCTGTCAATTGTGCTGCTCTTTTCTCTTGCTATGAGCTGACCAGCTGCGCCTCTGCCTGTTGCCAGCATGCTCCCGTCTTCTAGATCCCTGTCTTCCTCTAGTGCACTGTTTTTAATGCATTGTGGCCTGGGAATCCAGATAACACAGCTTATTAGAAACAATCTAAATGTAAGCATGAAAGCCCCTGAGTGAGCATCTGTGACCTTGTCTGTGAGTTTCTTTGGGCATCTCTCCTTTGTATCAGATGCTGTAGGTGTTAGTGCGTAGATGGCAGACCTGTTTTTCCTTTGTTTCTCAGCACTCAATTAGATCCAATTAGCTAATGAAATTCATGACAGCATGCAGCAAAATTCTGCATAGGAAGTCTTTTTTTTCCTTCTTTACATAGTTTCCCATGTTCTAAATTAGTTGTTTAATGTTATCTATGTGTTTTTGTTTCATTTCAGGATATCAGTGGGATAATGTGAACTGCCAAAATAATTCATTAGTTGTAAAGCGCCATCCTGGGGAGTTATCTGGGCTAAATTGTGGATAATGTGCCTCTCAGTTTGGACTGCTTAAAAGTCAATGTGGTCAGTGACTGACCCACAGCCACTACGTGACAAACCTGGGGTTAACTAGCAAGGAAAAACTGCTGAAACAACCTGATTGTGCCAAGATATAGCACGTTAAATCTATGTAATGGTAGCAGAAGTTGCAGGAAAAAAAGCCAGTGATTCCCAGGATGTTACATTGTTTATAAATCAGGTTGCTCAGTTTTTGAATCTTGAGATGATATTTAAGTCAAAATTTTAAGAGTAGGAATTCTGAGGTCAGAATCAATAGTGTGGTTGGGTGTTAGTTATTTGAATAAAAAGCCAACTTTTGAGCTGACTCCTTTTCTCTCAGTTCCTTTTCCTAATCATCCTACTTTTCTCAAAAATGTCCCTCACAAACTCTTTTGCTGTGAGAGAGTTAATGGTGAGGTGTATAAAATACACATAAAGGTTTCAAAAGTGAAGTATAATAGCCATAGCCTTTCAAACTATTATGCAGGTTTAGGAAAACAAGTGCCTTTATACATCATTCAAGCAGATGAGGGTGATTCTAACTGCAGATGGGCCTTTAAATAAGTGTGAGTTTGCTGCTGCTTCTCAACTCCCAGTTGGACACTGAAAAAAAAAGGATCTTTCTCAATTTCCTGTTCTTGTGCCTTATTAAAATCCCTCTGTTTCTCCCCCCACCGCCACCACCCCTGTCTCTTTCTTCTTTTCCCATCTTTTTTGTGTGTGTGGAAGATGTTATCCACAGTTCCCAGCAGTAATGATGCATTAGAGTCAGGAGGATGAGATTGTGACCCAGATACGGTGTATGAGAAATGAGTGATGGGAAGAGGGAGAATGATAGAGGGGGAAAGAGAGAGCATGAGTGAGCAGTGGTGAAGGGTTATGAGTTGTACAGTTATTTCTAGCTTTGAATGGTTTCCAAATCTCATACATTCACAGACAGCCTCGCCAAAGCCCACAGCTGTCATGCATTTTCAACAGATTCCACAGGGCCTAGATGAGGTTTGAAGGCATTCCTTTGCTCTTACACATTAGCTAAAAGGAATTACCGTAACATCTGATATTGTGGAAGTGGGACATTTGCCATCCTGACCTTGCCCAAAGCAGTCCGGAAATAGGGGTCTAAGAATGTATTATCTCATATGGCTCCTAAAGGTCACCAGGGGCCTGTTGGTGGTGTTCTGAGAAAATCCAAGGACCCAATATGCTCTGCATTTGGAGAAACTGGGCTGCTTCGTATGGACACAGTGGGCAGACACATGTTCCCATTGTGCGTTGGATGTTTGTCATAGGAAAGGCATGTTCCACTGGAGAAATTCCCAGCTGTCAGTAATGTGCTGATATACCACAGCCAATCATCAGAGGATGAGCCAAATAAACAGGATGTTCACAATGTGTGTGATTGCATGAGTGTGTAACAAAACTTCTGCCCATTTCACAGCCTCATAATGGGATTGACATGCATTGCTTAATCTGCATCTGTCTGTTTAGGATAGAAACACATAAACACCATGGAAACCATGTGTAAGAAAGCCCTTTCTTTGGCTATATGGGCTGTTGATATGACAGAATGAAATCTGGTATAAATTGGGAATGAACACTGCTTTAATATTATGAGTTGACTTGCTGGGAAGTGCCTTGAAGTCATCCAAACAGAAGAGAAGGAATAATCAGATAATCGGTAGCTGTTGTGAGTTAACAAAAGGGGCTGAGTCAATATGAATATTTTTACATGCCAGTGGCAATATCTTCATTCTTTCTTCTTGTGAGACACTCATTAGTTGAATTATTTATATAAATGTACAGAAATGAGTCAAAGTCATGTCATTGCCCTTTCTGTTTGGATATGCTGCTACTGTTAACAATTAGTTTCTAAATATATTCCCAAGGCAACAATTTGGGAAGGGGGAGTAGCGGTTCCTTTAACACTCATGTGTAGATCAGTTCTTGGGAAAATAACATGAGGTATCCTGTTAAGTGTCAGACCTTTTACTTCTCTGAGTATTCAACTCCCCTTTGCTCAAGGTGGCACATCCATTCATGACAATAACAGTAATGAATACTATTTATTTTGCATTTCTTATTTGCTGGTACTGAGCTAAACCTTTAATATGCATTAACTCTTCTAATTATCACAAAACACATAAGATTGATACGATTATTATTCCTAGCATAATGTTAAGAAAACCAGGGTTCAGAGAAGATGCAGATTTTTAAGAAGATAGATTTAGTGACAGAGCAAGCTG